TTTGGGCTTGCGCACGAGCTTACTGACTGGTGACTCATGACTCTGAGGCCAGCCAATGATTGTAGCCTCCTGGTTCTCTCTGATAGTACCCATCCAAATCGTTCCCTTGTAAAGGCATTAGGCGATGTTCTACCTCATTGCATTCTTTTCTTCGTCAATTAGCTTGGAGTACATTACCCGTGACAATAACAAACGAAGTGAGTGTAGTAAATTGAGAAGCAGAGTAATTACGAAGGCATGCGCATAAGTTGAAGGCGTAAGGTTAAAAGTTAGTAGACTTGAGATAGTTTAAGGGGCCTGGTTCTTCTAAGTAAAAACTGGGCTGAGCTCAGCCCAGATGCGCATTCTACATGCCACGTGGGTTGTGAGAAGCTAGCCTTCGTGTGTCCGAGACTGCATCAGCGCTGCCAACCTGGCAATGGGCCTGCTTACCAGAGGGAAATCAATCTGCTCACTCACACACGCATCCCCTCACTGGCTCACTCCAACCACCCTACTGAAATGCCCAGTTTTTGCAGTCACTTATCTATTCACCTTCCTCCTTATCTACACACCTACCAGCTCACTGAGTGACCTGCTAATTAAGGCCTGCTCTGTGAAGGTGTTTCTCCTTGCTGTTGGTGGATTAGGTAGGGGATTGAGTGGATTCCAAGGCCATTTTGTCTCACGCGTATCGCCTATCGCATCTACATCTAACCTCGCGGTGGAGGGACGGCGGTAAGCGCAGTTGTGCGACAGGCAGCCACCTCATTGCGGTCATAAATCCGTGACGGGAGGATGGGGGAGTATACGTGCAGGTTGGAGAAGGAAAGGAGCTGAGCAGTTGCAGGACCACTTACCTGTCTTGAAATGGTTTTGGCGGGGCTGCGCATGCATGCCAAAGTCGAATTCTGTTTAGCCAAACTGATGAGTGCTTGAAGTAGTGTCCATCCAGCGGGGAAACCAACCATCACTGAATCAACTACCACTTGATGTGGAGGTTGAACCAATTATCCATCCAACCATCTATCGTCAATCCATCTCCCTTTCATCTCCTATCCTTGCACCGGCCTTTAGTGAGAAGACTGATCTTGATGTGGAAGTACGTGGTGGTCAGCAGGTGGAACTGATCTCTGGAACATCCTGCTGGTGTTCGTGTGAAGATCACGTAGTACACGTCAGGACACGAAGGAGATATGAGGGGAAGGTGGGAGAACTGGGGAGAGGTGCAGTTGCATTCCATTCCCCACTACCATCCTCGCTCCCCTTCTCATTGCATTCCGCCGAATCTCCCCTCAGCTTTGTGTGCTACACTTCGCCAAAGGTACCTATCCACACTGCAAGCGACTCCCATCCTCTCTTCGCCTCCGCATCAGACAATCACTTAATCCCACGCAGCCAAAACAGGTTCGCCAGTTGGAATGCAAAAGCGAGACAGAAAGGGAGGTGGTCGGGCCCGCTTGGATCTCACACTTTGGCAGACACAAGGTTTGACAACGGTGGCATCCAAATCCACCTCATATCTCCCTCGTGAGCTGAGAGGGGAGTGTGGGTGGCGGCGTTGATTGGCTGATCGACAGAAACACCTCCAAATGTTGCCTGCAGTCACGTCGCTGCCACCACACAAAGCAACTCGAGGTGGCTGGATCATCAGGCTTGCTCACTGTTGCTGATGGTCAGCGCGGCACTCCATAAAGTCGCGATTGCAAGGGAGAAGCCGCCTTGGCTGCAAATATTGTAAACAAAATGCGGTGAATGCGCTGGAACACTGCGCAATTGTTCGTGCTCAACTCAACTTTCTTTTCTTTTTTCCCTTCTTTTTTGAATTTTAATTACTAGCAGCGTTAAGTGGAACAGTCACGCAAGGCTTGTTTTCCCCTTCACCTGCTCTGCATGATGTTGAGTTGATTACCGCCTTCTCCTTCACACAGGTGCATAAACTCGATGCGGCATTCCTACGAGGTGGGAGTGAGGCATGCGCGGAGGGCGATAGTGCCATTCGGTGGCAGGCAGAGTGGAATGGCTCGACAAGGTGACTGCTGCCACGAGGGGCAATCAGGATGTGGGTAGATGCGAGCAAGAGCGATGCGGTGATGAGACGCCTCTGCACACATTTGTCCCTTTCTTGGTGTACTTCAGCACTCCTTCTTGTCGTCCCTGCATCGCACTTGGCATGCTGTCTGCTCTCCACTCGTAGCTCTGTCATAGCATTAGGGTATCGTTGGATGGTTGAATCGAAAGCACTCAGCGAGGTGGAGGGAGGGAAATGGTGGATGGCACCTCCACATTGAGTGACCGCATGCTGACAGAGATGGATTTGGGCTTGCAGGACACACGACCTCTTACCCTCTTGCCACATTGATGTAATGCTGACGCAGGACTGTGCTTGCCTAACATACCTGGTGCAATCGACTTCCACGGCCGACTTGCTGTTGACGCCATCCACAAGGGCTAACTTCAACACCACCGTGGCACCATGACTGTCTTGTCAGACACCAACAGGGATCACATGGCACGACAAAGCATTCCTCTGTTACCACTCCTTGCATTTCCAGCTTTTCACACAGCTCTAACCTCCCTCAAATCGCTTCACCCTCCCTCCGCTAGTCCTCCTTGAAACGTTCGGACTTCTCCTCTCCACTCAAGGCAAACACCAACCAAGCGATGTCATGGCAGGTGAAGAGGTAGCCTGTTGACAGGTCCCGTATTTCGTCAGATGAGATGACACACACCACAACTACAGAAGCGCGTCTCGTTTCCAAGTCACTTTCTCCCCATCGCGCATCACCTCAGCAGGTGCGCTGTGATTGGTCACAGGCGAGGGACAATGAGATCGCACGGCGCTCAAACTCTCTGGCGAGGTGGAATCACGAAATACAGGAGGAGGACAGGCGGGACACGAGGCAATGCCGAGAGACAGGTAGACATGGAGTCACCTTCTAACTCGACCGGAGGCCATTCTGTTGGCCTGGATTCAGTCTGTGGCCAAATCTTCAAGGATGTCCTCGCTGCCATAAAGGAGCAAGGTAATGTAATGCACTATTAATACACTTTTTGGCAGTCTTGTTAGTTTTATTTCATTTGAAGTGTTACAAGAAACGCACTCATGGTGTTGCCTCGCATCAGCCTTACCTGGAAAGAGAGTTAAAACCTTGGTTGTTGCACATCTGTGGTAATTTCTATCCGGCTCTGAAAGTAGCGGTGGCTTAGTTTGGAGAGCGAGGAGGTGGTAGTCGATGGACGGATCAAAATTTGCTTCTTGCCATATATTTGAAAATTTCTTCCTTTTTGTCAGAATTAGTTTTATTGCATGCGCTATCAAGTGTCTATCATGGGTTTAAATAATATACTCACACTATTATTCAATTAAACACTTTATATTTTACTTCAGTCCCGACAATATTTTATACATATTTTACTTATTTTGATTGATTCAATTCTTTAGATGCCCTTTAAAATTTATAAATCGGAAAGCTAAAATGGGAGTTCACGACTTCTGTGAATGCTCTCATTCATTTTTTTCCTTTTCTTGGTTCAGAGTAGGAATACATCAAAATGATACATTTTGTTATCACTTAAGATAATGAAAAAAGGCTTCCTTTGAGTAAACAAATACCCTGGAGCTAGGGGTGATAAAATCGGCTCGTTAACGAGGCAAATGCGGGGAGGGAACTCGTGGTCATTTGCTACGAACGACCGTCTCCACTTGATGGTGGTGAATGATGGGAGACTGCGCTGACGTCTCCACCGACTGGGGTATCACATGAACTGCTAGGTGATGAGAGGGTGCCCCTCCTCCGGACAGTAGGTTTTCTTAGACTACTCGCTGACTGAGACGAGAAGGTGAGTCGAGCGAACGCATCATCAGAGACCCCCGAGAGAGACACCAATCGCTGCACTCCATTGCAGCACAGAGGGAATAGTTTACCCGTCCGGATTGCGTCTATTCGTTTAGGAAAAACTCCTCCAGAGAGAGCAGCCTGAATTGTAAAAAAGCCCCCTTCTTCTGCCCGTTCGACGCCACGAGGCCTTATGTTCAGTGCGGCGCTAACTTGTGGGAGGACCTTGCGTCACACTTTGCAACAGGAGGGCGGAGAGGGAGGAGGAGGAGGGGGGGGGAAGGCAGTGTCTTACCTTCCACCCCTAATGGTACACTTTCAAGCTTAAAGCCATTAGACATGTTTATGGATGCCAGCTTCAGACGACCAAGTAATTGCATGCGAAACAGGGTAGAGAGTTGGGAATAGAGGTGAGGCAAGAACGAAGGGCGCTAAGCCTAGGATAAGGTGCTGGAACCAGGAAAACAGGATTTCTAGAGATAGGTGATTAACAGTCAGCTCAATTACAGTTTTATTAAAAAAATAACGCCAAACTCCAATGAAAATTAACAATCCATAGAGGATGTTTTACAAAAGTATCCTATGCTCATCTTTTTTGTTAAAAACCCGCAGCGTCAAGTGGTGGTCGGCCATTTTCAAAAAAGTCGCGATGTACAATGATGGACACAAAGCCTTTGAAATAGTTTTAAAGTTAGTTGGCGCTTATTTAGAGAATTCAAGCTTTAAATAATTTTAGAAAGGGATGTATATTTAAAGCATTAAATTTGTCCTAGTTATACAAAAGATAGGTTTATCATTTTAAATATGATGTATCGTGTCAAAAGTCCCAGGCTTTATTTACGGCTCAAATAAAAATAAAATTCATTGTCATAAAATAGTAAATTAACTTGGTTTCTCAAAATAATCTCAAATTGTAGGAGAACTAAAAGAGCATGAGGTGGAAAATCATTCCTCCATGGCTCGAAACATCTGGGGCAGGTATTTCTAAACTTCAGAAAGAAAAAAAGTTATTTTTAGAAGTCGCTCAAGCGATTTATGCTTTTTGGTTATCTGTAACTATTTTTTATTGCATAAAAGCCTTGCCTAAGTGCTTTTAGGAAGCAAAATAAACTTCTCAATTTGCCTAACGTTAGGAAGGCCTAGTTTGAAGGATTTTTTAAAGTCTCAAAAGATAAGGGATTTGTACTTCCACAAGTTAAAAAAGCATATTTAGTTTTGGATGTCGAGGATTTTTCCAGAGTCATTTTTATAAATTGGCAAATCTTTGGAGAAAACCGGATTTACTGTAGTGACAGACAAATTAAACAAATTCCAAATTCGCGAGTAAAATTTTCGAATTTTCTCAAAAGTATGAAATAGGACGCATATTTCTTTAATCTTCTTTAAAGAAAATTACTTTTTTAAAATAAATAAACGCCTCAGAGACTTGAAGTCGATGTCAACGAGGAGACGCCTTGTGCTTCCTTGATTGCTTTGCCCCTTTCCCCCTCCCCACACCCCCTCCCCCTAAGAAAACGTTTATTGCCACCCACAGCGTAATCGCTTTCCCATTTGTCTTTTGTCAAAATGCCAATCAATCACTGCCTACTTTCACTTCAAACTCTGCATTTGATTACACTTTTTGCTAGACCTTATGGGAAATACTTCACATTACATTAATCGACTGGCCGACAGGGTTATTTCAGGGTGGGTAAAGAGGAAGGTGGGAGGACAGATCCCATTATCCATCCTATCTATCACCCCACCACCGTTTTAGACTCAACTCATTACAGCTGAACTTACCATCTTTACCTACCGGCAGGATGGCTCGAATGGGTGTAGATATCTGTCAGAGGGAAGTGACTCTCACCCCCACCCCCCCACTCCTCCCGAGTCATTATTCAGGAAAAAGATGGAAACGTCTTTCCTCAATGCTCTGAGCGGAGAATGGACCGTGGCCTCGAGTTGTGCCAGATCCAATCGACTACCCAGATACCTCGTCAGTACTTGTTCACGTGCCTTTATAAACCTATCGTGGGGATTTCATCACCCAAGCTAGCAATGAAGAACTGTTTAGATTTCCTGGAGCATAAAAAGGAAACTTTAGGAATTATTCGTCGTACAAACAATCCTTGTTGCCTGAAGAATGGTTCTTTGACATCGATATGTGGTTGGTCTTGCGCACAGTTGGATATTTTGGACATTTTCTTTCAAAAGTCGTTCTATTACTACATCTGAAACACACCAAGGGTGATTGAACTCTTCCCCTGGATGCATTAATTTACCACTGCCCAGATCCATTGCCAGCTGTTACGCATGCAGCCGTGTTTGGATCCTGCCAAGATGTCATCTAGATAGTTGGGTGATGATTTTTTGAGAAAGGCGGTCTACCAATGGCAACAGCGTATACGCAGCCGGAAGAGGATGCCTGTGTGCATGTCCGCTTGTGGGCCAAAGAAAGACTTGTCACTCAACTTTACAAATAAAGACTCCTGACACTACTTATTTTCAATTGTCATCTTCGTTTCCAGGAGGCACAGAATACTGTCCCGCGGTGTACGACGGCGTGATGTGCTGGCCTCCTGCGTTATCGGGAACAACAGTCCGCCTCTCTTGTCCAGCCTCTTTTGAAGGAGCAACTTACAATGCATTGTGTAAGTCCGCTTGTCATCCTCTGCTACAAGTAATTACTTTAATTGCCAGTGGACTTGAGGGTGGTAACCACATTTAAAGCAATCTGTCGATCAAAAGTGAATGGTTGGCACAGATTGGGACAAGTTTATTTTTTTAAAAAACCACAAAATTTCACAGGTGGTTATGCTTGCCGTTAGTGGTGAGGAAATTGTAGACTGCGTAACTCTATAGATATTCATGGTGGGGCTATTCCGAACAGCAGGTAGGAATTTTCTTTATAGACCGGAAACCGTTATGGCTAATGTCTGTAAAATACTTGTATTACTTGAAGCTCCTATATGTGCTTTCATTAAAAGGCAAGTTTTCTTTCCCAACCATTTTTTAAGCAAACGCTCACTACCAATGTGGCGCAGTTTCCAAGATAACCATATCCCAACATGTTTAACCCATCACACCTGGATGACAACGTTGACACTTATTTCTATGTACAGTGCATCACTACATAAGATGTGGAGATTTTGCCTTCTTCCACCAGTTGACTAGGTCCAAGTGTCGTAGTAGGCTAATTTTGTCTAGCATACTTTCCAGTTGTCCTGAAAAGTCGGATGTCCTCTAATCACATCTACCGGTTTTAACATACATCTAATATTATGGCGGTGAGCTTAAAATAAAGAGAAAGGTGGTGGATTACACAAAAAGGAGCAATCTCCTTTAGTCGCTGTTAATCATATATCTTGTTAGTGCTGTGGGATATACCGGAAAACTCGTCGAACACTTTTGGCATTTCATTTTTTCCTAAACAGTACAGGAACCTCCTTTAAAGGAGAAAATTTTCCATTAAAAACAAATCGTACTCAAAAGTTTGCATACAATTAAAAGATTCAGGGAGAAGTTTCCCCCACGTTTGTAGTCGGTCGCACCGCTACGGCGGACAATTTACCACCGAGAGGCATTAAACTCTGCCGAACAACCGCGTCAACTTGTTTGTAGCGCTCACGCAGTTAAAGGGACTACCAGAGCACCACACTCGTGTTGAATTGGACTAATTTTTCTATACCTTTACTCAATAAAGAATTTAAAAAGGGCATGAAATTCTC